TGAGCTGTATGGTGTGATTTCTGAGAGAGATTGGGTGATAATATGAAGAAAATATATGTATAGAAAAAGAAAGAAAAAAACTTTTAATTCTTCACATTTTTGACTACCACAACGTATATTTTTTTGAATTGCACAGCTTTTGTTGTTTTCTGTTTTCTGGACAGATAGTTTTGATGACACAAATGTATTTATTTTGTTTCATGTTTTTTTTTTTTTGAATCACACAGCTTTTCTTGTTTTCTGTTTATTTGACAGATGGTTATAGATCTGCAACACTCATGTATTGTGTCCATTGATGATGTTAGGGGCAGGGGGTGACACAATGTATGCACCTGTAATCTATTTCACAGGTGAGCTGAGGATAGGTGAGGCAAGGGAAGTGCTGTAATTCTCTCTGTTGGACTCCATCCACCTTCTATTGTTCTGCATACTTCCATTTTCCGGATAATAAAACCAGATTGTATGGACTGGATGTTGATCAAAATGAAGTGGTTGGCTTTTAAATTTCCCAGCTCCCACTTGTTGACATTGTTTCCCTGTTGTAGTTTCTGTTATCTCTGTCTCAAATATCTATATCCTATACCCTTCCTTTTTCAGTACTCTCTGTTGGTTGCTCTTTCTGGTTCTATTAGGACGGTTCACAATTCAAATTTTTCAGCAAAATTTTTATCTGAACTTAGCAGACCAACTGGACTGCACAGCATAAGATTTATCCTGCTGCGCCTGCTAGTTTCAGTCGGTTTCAGCAGTCTTGATCAAATACCACCGATGGAAATGCTCTGAAAGCTTGGGAATTCTTGTTACACTCTCCCCGGTTTCTTGTTTTTCACCTCATTCTCCCTTGATCGGCCGCTATCTCTTGCTTTCCTCCTCTCATAAGCCTCGATCTCTTGTTTGCCTCCTCTAATCAACCTCGACCTCTTGCTCACCTCTTCTAATCAGCCTCAATCTCTTGTTTTCCTCCATTATCTAATTTTCACTTGATTGACCTCAATGTCTTGTTTTTCAACTCATTCTACCTTGATTGGTCATATCATCGTTCTACCAAAGAAAGACACCAACAGAAACACACAAAAAAGGAGTGCAGTACAATGAAGTGAGAAGATTAGACACAAGCAAAGAAGAGAAAAGGAAGCGATTGAGTTTGAGGAAGGGGAACGAGGAGGCTATGTTGTAGTGAGTGCAGGACATAGATCTGTTTGATGAACAGGGCCGATACCTAGGTGTTGTAGCATCTGATGATGAAGATTTCCTGGCAATTGGGTATCTTGGAGAGAGCCTGGATTCCATGCGAGATGATCGCTCTGCCAGCAACTGGGTTGGGTCGTTCCGAGTAGGTAAAGAAGCAGTCAACGGGGTGGTGTGCTACTACACATCCACCTCTCTCCAGCTATCATTGGTAAGAGCAATCATTTCCTTCACTGTAATTCTGTGGGTGATCGATCCATGATTCTGTGTTTCAGGGAGGAATGGTGACTGGTGGAGTAAACCGATCGGGGATCTGGGAGGTTTATGTAGTTGGTAAGTGTGTTGCTGAATTAATATTAAAATTTCAGATTTTCAGCAACAGGTACGTTGCTGAAAAGTGTAAAATTTTATACATATTTTAATTTCAGCAAGCAGATATTTTATTACAAGTTAGCAGACAGAAGTGTCAAATGTGAACCGGGCTATTTGTTTAACATTATTCATTTCATTAGAAACCCACAATTAAGTTTGTCAAACTATCTGAAATACATATGAAATCCATTGC